TCTAATCACAGACTAAAATACCTATTGATAAACATGTGGTATATTGGTAGCACCTGGCTATGACTGTAAATATCATGATGCAATACCTAAAGGGTTTGGCAATGGTTGAGTCATAACGATGTGAGGGTTATTGCAAAGGAGTTGCGTCAGCCAGTGTCCCTTACTGATGACCTGTCAGCAAGTGGCTATATAAGGAGGATGAAAGCCTCCATCTTTCTCTCTCCTGTGTGACTCTGTGTGAGTATCTGCCTTTGTTGTATATGACTATTTGATTATTCTGATAGTTTGTGGTGACAAACTGAAAGTGGATCTGTGAACCCTGTGTGTACATTTTGTAAATGTATATTTACATTTTGTAAATGAATATTTTGATTGAAAACCTGAATCCGCAAGTTTACTAAACAGTGTAGATAAGGTCAAATGCTGGCAGTTGGACTTTGTTGATAGACGGCTGAAGCATGGTTTTGGTTGTGAAAGGACTCTGCTGTGTTTTGCTTGCTATCCACCATGCAGTGGTTCAGGGAGGTCATGATTTGGAAACTATAAATCACTTAATGTACCAGCATCCCGTGACATAAAACCCATGATGCAGGACAGTCAAGTGTGGCACTCCTCTTTTGCAATTTGTAACTGCTCCTTGTAACTCTCCCCCAACCTATTCAACTTGTATGCAGAACACATCATGTGAGGATGTGCGGGGCTTGAGGAATGCAAAGCTGGGGTGAAAATTGCTGGAAGAAACATGAACAACCTTAGATATGCAGATGACACCACTTTGATGGCCGAAAGCGAGGAGGAGCTGAGGAGCCTTCTAATCAAGGTGAAAGAAGAAAGCGCAAAAGCCGGGTCGCAGCTAAACATCAAAAAAACCAAGATTATGGCAACAAGAATGACTGACAACTGGAAAATAGAGGGAGAAATGGTGGAGACAGTGACAGACTTTGTATTTCTGGGTGCAAAGATTACTGCAGACGCAGACTGCAGCCAGGAAATCAGGAGACGCTTACTTCTTGGGAGGAGAGCAAGGACCAATCTCGATAAAATAGTGAAGAGCAGAGACATCACTCTGGCAACAAAGATCCGCATAGTTAAAGCAATGGTATTCCCTGTAGTAAGCTACGGATGTGAGAACTGGACCTTAGGGAAGGCTGAGCAAAGGAAGAGAGATGCTTTTGAACTGCGGTGTTGGAGGAAAGTTCTGAGAGTGCCTTGGACAGTGAGAAGATCCAATCAGTCCATACTTCAAGAAATAAAGCCTGACTGCTCACTGGAGGGAAGGATAGTAGAAGCCAAGATGAAGTATGAAGTACTTTGGCCACATCATGAGGAGACAGGAGAGCTTAGAGAAGAGAATGATGCTGGGGAAGATGGAAGGAAAAAGGAAGAAGGGCCAACCAAGGGCAAGGTGGATGGATGGTATCCTTGAAGTGATTGGATTGACCCTGAAGGAGCTGGGGGTGGTGACGACTGACAGGGAGCTCTGGCGTGGGCTGATCCATGAAGTCATGAAGAGTCGGAAACGACTGAACAAATGAACAACAACAACAACAAACTGCTCTTTACTTTTTCTGCAGATTAAACAACTGTATTTTAAATCTCCTCTTTTCTAGTTTGTGATTGGAAATAGAGATCTCTGAACACTGAGCCTCAAAAACAGAACAATGGGTTCAGGGTCCAGTCTGGACTCCCCTGAGACGGCCTGCAACAAGATGGTCTTAGGCTGGAAGGGGGTGTTCGGTCCCTAAGGCCAAAAGGATTCTCTGCCCCTGAACAAAAGGTTGGGGAAATGGCTCTCGTGACCCAAGGGATTCCAGGCGATGGGTGTGCGTTTTATCTTCTTTTTTCTTTTACAAAATGCAAGGAAAATGAGGGCGCGACCGACCCCTCACACAGGGAAGGAAAGTGTTGGAAGGCACTGGAGGAAAGCATGTAAGAAGGGGGATCCGCACCAATCTTTCGAAGAATTCTTAACAGCTCTAGAATCTGTTCATAAGAGGAGGATGCACATGATTGATGCCAATTAGCATGCATTCCCCAGTCTCTGGAAATGTCCTTAAAATGTGGAAGATGGATTGGAATCCGGGATTTCATGAACAACAACATGAGCTACATTCCAAAATAACAGCTACAACCATCTGTTCCAGCAAATACAACTCAACTTCTTCTGGCTTCTCTAATTCTCTTGGTAGTCTTGACTACAGAAGATCTATTGAATCAGATGCGTTTACCTACCCACTGATCATACCCAGCAATTTATGGAATGGGTGTGCTCTGAGTAGCCGACACTTAAGGAATAACCAGGGGACGTCGGACGGAGAGTGGCACAAGCCCTCTTCTCCACGCACTACTAGAAGCCCCTTTGCCCTTCCTCCTCCTCCTCGAATCCGCTTGCCTTCTGCTCTGAATCTGCCTTCTGGCAGCCCAGCTTGCATCCTTCTAATTCTGGGTCTGCTTGGAAGAGCCATTCCTGGATCCTTGCTTCCCCGTTCGCGTGGCTCAGCATCACGCAGAGGAAAAAACAGTTCAGAAGCTGCTGGGTTGTGACTCATAGCCATTTGTCAGCTGTTCCTGCCTCCGGAACATTTTCACGCCGCCAGAAATGACTTGCATCATGGGACTGCCCTTCTCCTTCCCTTTCTCAATGGGAGCAGCGTGACTTTTGAAGCTCAGGTCTCCACGGAAGAGCACACTGGGTGTGCCATACATCTCCAACAGTATTCACCGGGCTGGGACACCCAAGATGGATGCTCTTTTAACCATAGCTCTGCGCAGTGACACGGAAGCCTTGTGACCTTACACATCCCAGTTCATGGCCTGACTCTCCTTCCCTCCTCCTTCCTCCTTCCTTTTCATCAAAACTGTACGACAATGTGCACTTAGCTGATTTGATGGGAATGCAGTGATTGCCCCTTCATCACAGGACGGTGAATTATTTGGAATTCTGGTGGGAAACCTTCCCAGTAATTTCATCCTCTGTTCTCACACCCTTATAAACATGTCATGTTTATTTCATGCTCATTCTGATGTCATTCTGTTTTGCAAGTTACCCAGAGAGAGGGCTGATCGTTCTCTTCCTCCATGAAGGCATATTAGCATGGCGAAAGCTCTTGTACAAATCTCGATTCTGCAGCTTGATCAACCCAATCGGAACGGCCTTGGGACGCATCACCAACCTCCAAATGCACGTCCCCAAAGAATTCCAATCTGGGGCTTGCTTATAGGTCATTGGGTCCTTTTAATTTGCAGAGAGACCTCAGCATCTGCTGGGATTGCTGATGACAATGTCATCTGTGCGCATTCAGAAGAAGACCTACAAGCCACTCTAAACACCTTCGCAGAAGCATACGAGAAGCTCGGCCTCCCATTGAACATTGAGAAAACCAAAGTGCTCTTCCAGCAGTCACCAGCCAATCCCTCTCCAATGCCAGAGATACAGCTTAATGGTGTAACATTAGAAAATGTGGACCATTTCCGCTCCCTTGGCAGCCACCTCTCCACCAAAGTCAACATTGACACTGAAATACAACACCGTCTGAGCTCTGCGAGTGCAGCATTTTTCCGAACGAAGCAGAGAGTGTTTGAGGACCAGGACATCCGTAGGGAGACCAAGGGGCTTGTCTATAAACCTATTTTGCTCCCAACCCTGTGGTGGCAGCCACCTCTCCACCAAAGTCAACACTGACACTGAAATACAACACCGCCTGAGCTCTGCGAGTGCAACATTTTTCCAAATGAAGCAGAGAGTGTTTGATGATCGGGACAGCCGTAGGGAGACCAAGGGGCTTGTTTATCAAGCTATTGTCCTCCCAACCCTGCTATATGCCTGCAAGACGTGGACTGTATGGACGTCACATGCAACTTCTGGAACGATTCCATCAGCACTGCCTCCAAAAAATCCTGCAAATCTCTTGGGAAGACAAGCAGACAAATGTCAGCGTGCTGGAAGAAGCAAAGACCACCAGCGTTGAAGCGATGGTCCTCCGCCATCAACTCCGCTGGACTGGCCACCGTCTCCCATAGCAGTTGCTCTACTTTGAACTCAAGAATGGAAAACAGAATGTTGGAGGACAAAAAAAGTGATTTAAAGATGGGCTCAAGGCAAACCTTTAAAACTGTGGCATAGATACCAAGAACTGGGAAGCTCTGGCCCTTGAGTGCTCCAGCTGGAGGTCAGCTGTGACCAGCAGTGCTGTAGAATTTGAAGAGGCACGAATGGAGGGCAAAAGAGAGAAACGTATCAAGAAGAAGGCATGTCAAGCCAACCCTGACAAGGACCGCCTTTCACCTGGAAACCAATGCCTTCACTGCGTGAGAACATGCAGGTCAAGAATAGGGCTCCACAGTCACCTACGGACCTTGGAGGACAATCTTACTCGAACAACGAGGGATCATCGAAGGAAGGAAGGAAGGAAGGAAGGAAGGAAGGAAGGAAGGAAGGAAGGAAGGAAGGAAGGAAGGAAAGAAGAATAGCTGATGGGCACAAAACAGGGCAAAAAGAGAGGCGGTCTCCTGCTATCCTGCATCTCAGGCTACAAAACAAACTCTGGGGCCCAGTCACTCCAGGCAAGGAGCTCAAATCTCTTCCAGCCCACAGTGTACAACAGCAGACCACATAAGATGGGCAGAAATGCTCCTTGGTCCTGCTCCAGTCGCCTCACCCTCCTTCTGCATTGGAACCTCTTTGGTCAATGTCATTCCATGTTGAGCTGCTGTTCCAGGAGTAACTACATTACAGGAGCCTTGACTCTGAATTTTGAAGTTTAAGCAGGTTATAAATAAAACCAAAAATGGAGGGACAGGGGACAAAGTGGACCTTTGTTGGTGTCCATGCTGCTGAAGTAGCCGGTCCTTGCAAATCTTTCTGGGAAAGGGTGATAGCCTTCGAGAAATGGAGGCAGTTCTGCTGAAAACTTGGGGACCTCTGAGAGCCACTCAATCAATGCCGTGTGCTCTTAATACATACAAAGTGTTCTGGGTGACTGAGGGAGCAAGAGGCTTACCTACAGATTTTGTCCGCGGGATTCCTTTGCGCAGGGAGACGTGAGGCTTCTCTGGGCCGCCATGCGCCATCCCCTGCCGCTCAAACAGCGACTGGAAAAGAAACAGGACAAGAGTGACCCCCAAGGACACCAGGAGCAGAAGAAACATCATGTTGCTCTGAGTTTGGGGTTTCCACCAGCTCCTCAGAAAGATCACCGAGGCCATCACAGCCCTCCCACTGCTCCCTGTTATGAACATGTGGCCTTGGCTGCCAAAGCCGTGCCCACCTTTTGTGAGACAGGAGGTCCTAAAGCTTCCACAAATATAAGTTAGGTATGCATCTAAAGCTCAGAGGCCACACATGCCTCTGACGGAGATGCTGCTACAAGGAAAGGAAGCTCATCTTTCCCACCTAAGTACATCTTGTGCCCTCCTGGCACCTTCCCCTCAAGGCAGTGGAAAGCCACATGACTGGGAAGGCAGCAGCTGCATGTTTGGCACATCTGCCCTTCTCAGAACGGATGAGGCCAAAGCGTCTTCCCAGGAAGAACATTCTTCCGAGTGTCCCAGCTTGGCGTAACTGCTGCTAGTAATACATGCCAATGCAGTGCCATGGCGGGTGGATGCTTGGCAGCAGAACGACCTTCCCCCCGGCTAAGTGTCATACAGCAGTGTTTGCCATGCCAGGTCGCATGTTGGCATTCCTCTTTTACTGGATTCCAGAGGCAGCTGGTGGGTTTCCTGCTGAACAGAATGTGGCTGTCACTACTTCATTTTGCAAAGCCTGTGGCCCAGCAAGCCTGATTCTGGCCCAAGGAGTCAACACAACGGGTGCACAGCAAACATCCAACCTGCTTTTATTACTCCCATTGTACAGAAGATCTCTGGCAGAAAGGAAGCATCTTATGCAGCAGGGATGGGCAAACCCAGGCCCGGGGGCCAGATGTGGCCCCTTTGGCTCTTTTCTCAGGCTCTCCTCTCTCTCACATCCTATCCTTCCTTCCTTCTCTCTTTCCTTCCTCCTTCTATCCCTCGTTTCCATCCCTTTGTCCACCCTTCCCTCTTTCCTCCTTCCCTTTCTGTCCTCCCTCCTTCCCTCTTTCCTTCCTCCCTGCCTCGCTACTTCCCTTCCCTTCCCTTCCGTCCCTCCCTTCCACCCTTCCTTCTTTTCCTCCCTTTCTTCTTTCCTTCCTTCTCTTTTTCCTTCTCCCTTTCCTCCTGGGAGATGTTTAGCTGGGAGAAGAAATGATAGAGAGGGAACATGAAATTTCATGATTTAGAAGGGTGTCCCATTGAGGAGGCAAGGAAAAACTGATTTTCTGCTGCTGCAGAGACCAGGGCATAAGGGAGCAATGGGTTCAAATGGCAGGGAAAGAGATTCAGCTGAAAAGAGTTGGAAGAACTATAATATTGTTGTTTTATTATGTTTTATGATGTTTATATAATTTAATGCGCTTTTTATTAACCATGTTGATCAGGCTCATCTCCATGTAAGCTGCCCCGAGTCCCTTTGGGAAGATGAAGGCGGGTACAAAAATAATTTGTTGTTGTTGTTGTTAGGTTGTTGTAGGTTTTTTGGGTTGTATGGCCATGTTCTAGAAGCATTCTTTTCTGACGTTTCACCTGCATCTGAGGCAAGCATCCTCAGAGGTTGTGAGGATTATTATTATTATTATTATTAATTATTATTATTATTATTATTATTATTATTATTATTATTATTATTAGACCTTCCTGAGAGTAAGAGCTGTTGGAGAGTGGTATAGGCTGCCTTGGGGTGTGGTGGATTCTCCTTCTCTGGAGGCTTTTCTGCAGAGGGTGTCTATCGGGAGTGCTTTGATTGTGCCTCCCTACATTGTAGGGTGTTGGACTGGATGACCCTTTGGGGGTCTCTTCCAGTTCTAGGATTCTATAGCAGGAGTAGGCAATACGGGGTCTCATGGATACACTTTTCCTCTCCCATCTACCACTTCATCATGACCAAGGCCAAGTCTTTTGGGATCCAAACGTTTCCCCTCTTTCCGCCTGGGCCTGCCACACGGCCCCCAAATTAGGAAGTTTGCCCATGCCTGCTATAGAGGATAGGGATCCATTGATCCCTTATAGAGTGGCTAAGTTTTGTGCAGCAGCTATTTTAAAAAGGAAGTAGTTTGTGGGTGATTTTAGTGATAAAGTTTTGTCTTACTCATTTTATGATCCAGACCCACAGATTTTATAAGTGTCATATATGAATAGATTGACTCCATTTTATGGACTTTCTACTTTAATGTTGTGAATCTCTGGTCGTAATGTTAACACTTTTTAAAAAAACCTTCTGTTTTTAATGCTTTATCTATGGAAAGACAACTCTTCCCACTTGACATCCTATCTTCTACCTCTTCATGTGCGCTCAAATGTTATGGCATTTCAGCGTGTGCACACGTTATGGCACAACATATTCTGAAGTTTTATACAGTATGTTGTGTCTGGCAGGCATTTCCGCACTCCTGGCGATGAATTCAACACACGCCAGCGCTCCCTCTCAATCTGCCTGTCTTGACTTTTCAGCAAAGGGAATTCCCTCAGGTGCCTCAGCCCAGGATCAGAGACTTTGCAGCCATTGCGATGTTCTTCTTCCCCCCTCAGGAACCTCTTTTTCCCAGTTTGTGGGTCCCCCTTCCCCACCTGGCCCCCGTTCCCTCTTGCCGCTCTCACACTGATCTCCGCAGGAGTGATTCTCCGGCTGGTCGGTCTCTGCTTCACCGTGGCCGCCCGGGAATCGGCTTCAACGATGTCGGCTCTCAGCGAAGGCTCTGCAGCGGCCAAGATCTCATCCAGCTTCTCTGCAAAATCAGACACAGCAGACCTGTGAGCTGGGCCTTGGGGCCGCCAGTTGAGGAGCTGAGCTCTACTGGAAGGAAGGGAATGGGCTGGCAATGGGAGAGGGTCCAGGCAGAAGAAGGCAAGGGGCGCGCCATTCACCTTGCAGGGGAAGCTTCTTCCCCAGGTAGTGTAACCCTGCAGATCCTTGAAGGTGATCAAGGGGATACTTCAGCCCTTTCTTTGCTCTCTGCACCATCCCTGGAGAGGAGGAGATGCAGTCGCCCCAAGAGGAGACCAAACATCGCCATGTCCAGATGGAGCATCTCTCAAGCTGCCCTACACCTGAAGGACCATGACTTGGTCTCCCGGGCCTGGAAAGCAAATCTCTCCTGAAAAGCCTTCAGTTTGTTCTCTCAAACCCAGTCATCACATCAATTCAGCCCTATTTAAAGTGTTTAGGTTTCTGTTTATACTTGTGAATGAAACATAAAGTTCTGACCCCCCCCCCTTTAAAAAAATGTACCTGGACAAAAGCGGCTTTTGGTACCATCTGAGTGATTTTTGTTCCAACCTTTTCCAGCTCTCTTGCACAATCTTTCTCACTGTATGGAATTAATACAGGCCAGTTTCAACCCTGAAGACCTATCTTACGTATCTAGCCTCCCTCAATGTGTCAGTTTCACGCTGCCAATGCAATGTTCTCTTCTTCTCCTTACTGCACACTGCAAAGAGCCAACTGGATTCTTGGGCCGCAAGTCTTTTTAGGGGCACCAACAAGCAGCTTGTGATGGAAGAGATCTGAAGCAGCCTCCTTGGCAACATAGCCAGGGCGCTTGAACTCTGCTCTGACTTAGACTTCACCATGTCACGTCCTGAATTTAAGGAAGTTTTATTCCATGTAAGAAAGCTTAACAGAAGAGCTCTGGGTATTCTACCTTCGAGCATCCTTCTCCAACCATACCCTAGAAAGGTAGAGAAGCGGTTTATATTTCAATGACCCCTTGGGACCAACTATCAGCTAGGGAAACAAAACCAAAAGTCCTGCATGAAAAATGGTCCCTTATTATTTATAGAGAAGTAGACCTTCTGTCCTGTTCTCTGGCTGCCCGTGGCTAAGGACAGCTGAGTCACATACCACCTGAACTTGGAAGTTAAGCCCAGGTTAGGACTTGGATGAGGGATCCCAAGTGCTGCGAGTTCTATTCCAGAGGAAGGACCTGGCCAAACCACCTCTGAGGGTTCCTTGCCTAAGGAAAACCCTCAGCAATTCAGGCAAGAGGTGACCTGGAGGCACGTATCAACACACACAAGTGTCTGTTCAGAGGACAAAATAAAAAAAATACCAATGATGGTTCCTATAGAGATAACCAAGGCGGACTAATGAAGAACAAAGATCTGGAGTCATCGTTTTCAGTAACGACTCAGTCTGTAGAGAAGCACTAGACCCTTTACTTCTTCTCTCCCTAAAGAATGCAGCCAGTCCTTTGTTCCCACAGATTCTACAATGACCCAGTTCCCACCAGCTAAGAAGCTTCATTTGGGACAACTCCTTTCCTAGAATAGCCACGGGACATGATGTTGACAAGGTGGGATGTTGCCTGAAAAGGTGCTCAGCTACGAGGCAGGGATCCTGCTGGGGACAAATACTATTGCTACTATGACTACTACAACTACTACTATGACGAGTACTCCTATAGTCAAGGCATTTCCGCCTCTGTTGCTGAGCACAAAGGTCACAGCATGCACGGCGCAAGATGCACAGGTGCAGTTTGTCACCTGGTTTTCCTGCTGAGTAACAAGAGGAAGACAGACCTGTCTCTGTCCCTGAGGAATCCCAGCCCAAGACCCCGTAGTCAAGGCATTTCCGCCTCTGTTGCTGAGCACAAAGGTCACAGCATGCACGTCGCAAGATGCACAGGTGCAGTTTGTCACCTGGTCTTCCTGCTGAGTAACAAAAGGAAGACATGCCTTGTCTCTGTGGATTCCCAGCCCAAACGAAGGCGAGAGGAGGTCTCGAGCCTCTTGCATTCAACCCTCACATGGAGAAAGGCCCTCAGGTCCAGGGTGGTGTTGATCCGAGAGTGGGCTTAAGGCTCTAGAGCAGGCATGGGCCAACTTGGGCCCTCCTCCAGATGTTTTGGACTTCAACCAATTCCTGACAGCCTCAGGCCCCTTCCTTTTCCTCAGCATCTTATGCGGCTGAGGGGGAAAAGGAAAGGGCCTGAGGCTGTCAGGAATTGTGGGAGTTGAAGTCCAAAACACCTGGAAGGAGGGCCCAAGTTGGCCCATACCTGCTCTAGATCTAAGATGCCTAAGTGAAAGGAAGGAAAGGCTGAAGTAACAAATGTTGTCATGTCTGCAAAATCCCTTTACCTCCACCTGCTGTCTGACACCTGGAAGGAATGCAAAGGGCCTTTGCTTTCAGACACCATTCTGTGCGCCAGCTTTCTCTGCCCTTTTCTCTCCCTCCTGCAAATAATGCTCCATCTCAATTCTGTTCTTGCCACTGGGTCACACAGCCCCCCCCCTCCCCCGATGCAACCCATCTCTTCCTGCCAGACAATGATCATCATTGGTTAGAGCCATCCTGCCAGCCAGACTCATCCTGCAGCCTCCTTGCACGCTGTGGCTGTGAAAATGTTCCTTTTTATTAATTCTCAGTTTTCTCCCCTGGCTCCCAAGGGTCTAGGCCAGTCATACACACAGGCAGGAGGAACACTCCTCCTGCTCCTCCTCTGCTCTCGCCGCCGACTTCCTCAAGAGCATCTTGGAAACAGATACCATCTGCCCCCCCCCCCCCCCATTTTGCCTTGGCGACAGCAACAAGGATGCTGCATTTGGCTCGGATGATGAGGCTCAGAGCTGCAGGAAAAGGGACCGGCTTCCCTTTGGGGGTGTGCATGGATTCATTGGGGGGTCCAGCCTGCAGGGCCCAGGCATCTCTAAAGAGCCCCCCAGGTGGGCATCACAATGTCCTTGCGATAAACTTAATTTTTATTCAGAAATAAAGAGAATAGTAAAAAATGCAAATTTTCAGAACAAATAGAACTAAAACTACTATATCTAACACAACTAAATTTAAAACAATCATAAGGCATGGGCAAACTTTGGCTCCCCCTCCAGGTGTTTTGGACTTTTAACTCCCACAAGCACTGGGACTGTGGTGCAGCTGTCTGAGTGTCAGCTGCATTAAGATCGCTTCTGACCACAGGGTCATGAGTTCGAAGCCAACCTGGGTCGGAGTGAGCTTCCAACCAATTGTGTAGCTTGTTGTCGACCTTTGCAACCCAAAAGACAGTTGCATCTGTAAAGTAGGAAAATGAGGTACCACCTATGTGTGGGGAGGCTAATTTAACAAAATTTACGAGGCCATAAAAAAAGACTCCAGGAAAGCACTCCAGCAAAAGCATGCAGGGAATGCGGAAGTACTTCATCAATGTCACAGATGGACGATGAAAGCGACAGCTCCCCTGGTGGCCAGAAAAGTTAAATATCCTCTGACTGTCTGTCTATATCTGTTGTGTGTCGTAGGCATTGAATGTTTGTCATATATGTGTACACTGTAATCTGCCCTGAGTCCCCTGCGGGGTGAGAAGGGCGGAACAGAAATACTGTAAATAAAGTAAGTCCTTACAGCCAATAGGCTATTAGGAATTGTGGGAGTTGAAGTCCAAAACACCTGGAGGGCCAAAGTTTGCCCATGTCTGCTCTAGTTCATAAATCCAATATCTTAAAAAGTGATAAACAAGTCCCAATCTTTTCTGAACTTGGTGTGAGTCACAATGTTCTAACAGACTTCCATCTTAAGGGAGAGCAGCTTCACAAGTGAAGACTTGGGATGGAGAACCAGTTGGGAAACCCTGGAGATTGGGAAAGGTATTTTGTTGGACTATAATGCCAAGAATTCCTCATCTAGCGTAGCCACTAGGAGATGCTAACCAAAGTGCCATTCCTGAACCCTGCGGAGGGCCCTTAGCCATGGTGTGCCCTGCATTATTTGGCTCCAAACAGCCCATGTGGAGTGTGTGGAAGAAACCCCCTGGAAGGAGAAACCCCAAGGCCTTTGGGGTTAGCTATTTAGATAATCACAAAGGCTAAAGAGACACAGTTCCATTGTGGGGAAATGCAAACATCCTGTTCTGCCAGAACAGCAAGGGCTATGGATGGTCCCACCCAGTTGTCCTTCTGCCAGTTGTCCAACACCCTCAAAGTCCTCTGGGTGCTGCTGCTCAACAGAAGTGGTGGTTGGGCCTCTCTGGCTCTCAATAGAGAGCCTAGCTTAACAGGGCCCTTCATGCAGCCAATCGCCCCTCTTGGGCACCTCGTCCCCTCCAAAGAGAACGTCTGGCGCATCCCACCACTTCCTCCGGCGGGAAGCTCTTCGTAAACATGTTGTCATCGCCTGCTTTGGCACATTCATCTGTGGCCTCTGCAGCTCTAAGCTTGGCTTCCTTCCTCTTGAGCCCTCAACTCTGTTTCTGGTCCAACAGGTAGTCTTATCCTAAGGCCTTCATTCAGCCTCCTGTACGTCATGGTGCCTCTCAACACCTTTCCTAGACCACCTCCCTGAGAAAAGGGCGATAGGTCGGTTATTCTAGCTCAGCCATGGGCAAACTATCAGTTACCAGTTAGGAATTGTGGAGTTGAAGTCCAAAACACCTGGAGGAGGGCCCAAGTTTGCCCATGCCTGTTGTTGACTCTACCCAGAAGATGCTAAAAGCTCATCTCTGGGAAAGACCAGGTGATTGGGAGCCTCAGCCGCGAGGTTTTTTGTGGGTTGGGGTTGAATACTCTTTTCAGCTAAAGTAGGAGATATCCTTGCTCCTTCTTCCCTGTGCCCTTGACCTTTTCCTTTTGCTGGGCATTTGGCTTTGTATGCCTTATGACGCTGTTATGCCAGTTTCTCACATCACTATGGTTTCTGCTGCTTCTTGAATTTGAACAGCATTGTTCATACAATGTCACATTAACCCACCCAAGCCCCATCTGCTTTCGTGGTTGCATTGACTTTAGCCATTGCAATTTTCTACAGATTTTAAAACCTGATTGCAGTGGTGTTTTGCTACCTCTTTCAACCCCAAATGGAGCTCGGTGTGTCCATTTTTGGATCAATGAAGAGGATGAAGAGCAGCCTTTCTGGATGTCTTTAATCCATCATAAGGGCATTTTATCTATTTATTGCCTGGTGTATTATATCCTGGTGGGTATTGTTGATCAGGAGAATTCTTTTCAAATGGCAGAGAGACAGAATGGGTTCTGAGGCGACAGAATGAAAAGACCTGCAGCACTTGAACCATATTCAAGACCCAAGATTGCAACCCATGCTTTGGATGGCGTTCCACTATTTCATACTTTCCTCAACATTTGCTTTCTGATGGCGAGAAACACAAAGACTACCTAAGTTCAGGAAGCATGGTGCATTCAATGCTCAAGTGACTGACCAGGCTGAGCTCCCAGAATCCCTTGCAATGTTACATAGGATGCCCGAGTGCCGCTCTTCCATCAGGTGCTGCTTTGAAGGTGCCCAGTGGATCACAGGCCCAGAATCCTGTGGATGATTTACACCATATATTCAACCTTCTACATTAGCAGTTTTCACTTTTGCAGATTTTCAATTACTATGTTGGCTGTCTCCCTTCAATGGGGTTAAAGCCTCCTTGTCTTGGGTGTGTCCTTGTTTACCTGGGGGAGAAAGCAGCCTTGGCCTCTCCCTTTACCAAACCAGCATAGGTATCCTCTGCCCGCAGGTCAGCGGGGTCTAGCTATAGTCCAAAGTGGCACTGAAGGTGGCCCCCACCCCCTTCTTTTATCCAAGGAAGGGGCCTCCAGCAGTGTGGCCAACAAATCCCTCCCTGGCCAGGACATAGCGCATTGAGGCGGGGTGCCTTCCCGCCATGTTAGGGAAAGAGGGAGGGCAACCTGGGCCAAGGGAGGTGGGATGAGCCCTGATCCAGGGCAGGTGCACTCACCCCCTTTCCTCCTCCGCATCGAGGCTTGGAATCAAGAAACAAAGCACAAGACATGAGTGGCAGGTTGGCATGCGCCCCCCTCCGCCCCTCCAGGACCCCACCCTTCCTTGGGAAGACCCCTCCCCTCTGGCCTTCCAAGAAGACACCGCTTTGGAGGCAAGCTCTTTCTTGGGAAAGGAGCAGCATGGTGGGAGAGGAGCAGCCCAAACACACCCCTTTCCCCTTCCCTTGCATGCGCTGCGTTCATGCATCCTCATTCCTCATCTGCCAGGGCAGTGGGGAAATTGAGCACTTCCTGGTGTCTGCCTGTCTCCTTTCCAAAACCTTCCACGACTTCTCCTATTTTCCTTGGGAAGGCTTACTGGTCTTTTTGGTGTTTCCAGCTTTAAAATGGGGGACTTGCATGGGCCTCTGTGGAGCCCACTCCCAGCATTCTCCAGCCAACATTGGGGCAAACCATGGGGAGCTGTATTCCACATAAGTTGCATTTCCACACTCCGATGCAATGACTTTCCCTCTCTACAGAGTAACTCCAAGGAGGAGGCTTCCCATTCAGTCTAAGCCATGCTAAACCCCTCCTCCTCTGGCCAGGTTTCCCAACAATTTTGCAAACATGGATGTAACAGAGAGGGCAGTGCATTGGGTGCAGCATTTCCTGCCAGTGCCACCATCATTGTAAGTACACAGGTGCTCCACGTGAGTTTTCTGTTTCACTGTGTAGGGTGTGTACTCCTGGCCTAAAAAAAAACAAAACCCTTTCTAGCCAAGAGGCCCTTGGACAACTGTACAACTAGCTTTGGTGACTGAGGACTGGCACACAACCCTCTGAGGGAATGCTTTGCCATCATCGTTCCCAGGCACTTTAAGACATCCCGGAAAGACTGAAATGGCCTCCTTGGGAATTTCTACTTGAACAAGATCATAGACCAAGCTCTCCCCTAGCCTTTGGCCTGAGACTTCTCACCTTCTGAGGAAACATCATCTCAGCCCTTCTGAAGCCAGAAGCCAGTCCACATGCTCCCAGCGCCAGTCAAACAGGATTACTGTATATACTCATGTATACGTTGACCTCATGTATAAGTCGAGGGCAAGTTTCAGGGCCAACATTTTGGACATTTGGATATGATCAGGGGTCATTCTGTAGAGAGGGGAAAGCAGCAATGCCACTGCTAACACTTCTCCAAAAAAAAGGCTAAATAAATGCCAGTAATGGAGACCACCATGTGACATTAGTGTTCAAGAGCTGGAGCAGGATTAAGTCAGGTCCAGGAGCTTTACCAGTTTTAAGTTGAGTATTTAACATTTTTATTTCCTCTCGAGACACAGGCGGCCACTGCAGAGCCTCCAAAAGCCTCATGAGAGAGGGACCAAACACCCAGGATTTTCCAAAACCTGTTCCCCAAAATATCTTTATATGGGATAGAAAAATAATCTTCCCACACAGGTGCAGGGATATTGTAGACTGCCAATCGGAATTCAAAAAGGACAGAAGCAGTGCCAAGGCAGAGAGAGACTTGGGGGGCTCGGTGCTTTCTTTAGTTTATCCTGGGATGGACTAGGCTCAAGTATTTCACCACTCTATACAGAAGAAGAGGATAGTTTCTTTTTTGATAGGAGATAATGGGTGAGACAAGCCAGGTTTTTTGGGATGATTTGACTAAAAATATTGAGTTATACATGAATATATAGGGGTCCAACAACACTTCACGGCCACCACTGCCAATTGCGGCCTCCCAAGTGTGGTTACAGAGTCCACACAGAGGCCTTCAAAGAAGTTTGCACCGTGCAATCCTCCAACATCTTGGGAATCTATCGCCCAAAGTACATCTATCCAGCACAATGTACTATCCATCATCTTGCTCCATTACAAAGCCTGTCTTGAGATAGTCGCTCCCACACCCTAACACCTAAAGACGACCTGTCCTCCATGGCTCACCAGGAAGCTCCAGATCCAGAGAAGGGGGTGCCCAAGAACATGCACAAAGGCCCTGGCGAGTGCTCACGCATGCAAAAGTGCTGATGAAAAGGAGTGCCTGTTGCTGGAAAGATGAGGCAGGGTGGGCAGGAAAAGAAACACAGAGGTACCACATAACAAGGATGATCTAAAACATCTGAATGGTTATGGAGAACAGGAAGGAAGCTACTTGCCCAATGTCACAGACCCACAACAACACAGAACTCTGAGGACATGGAATGGATGAACGTACACAAGAAAAGATGGGAAGAGCAGAATCATTCGGGAATGCTGGAGTGCTCAGAAGGCCCAAGAATTCTCTGGGGATTCTCAGTAGGGCTCAATGGGGCTTTGTGGAGATGGTGAACACTGGGCAAACCCATGTGGGGCTACCAGTGGCCACTTCACATGAAGAAGGATGAAGTGCCAACAATCTGGAGGTCTCTTACACATCTGGCAAGTCTGGTAAAGGAGGCCCTGGCAAAAGATGGCTCAGTAGGGCCTTGTCCATAGAATATGACTTTCTATAGGGCGAGAACTGAGATGCAGGCTCAGGAAGGGTGGTTATTATTTCAAATTAAAGACCTTGCAGTGAAGGAGAGGTGCATCAAAGGGCATGGTCTGATGGCACCTGGTTCAACCGGCCTTCAGGACCAGGACTGAGGAATGCCTGGATAGGAGGCCACCTGAGAACCCAACGTGCTCTGCCTTGGATTCCATGATGGACTAAGTGAGTGAGATAATCCATATCAGGACCCTCCACAGAAGCTGTTTGGCCAGGGATCTCAGACCCATAGCTGGGGATAGCAGGAGGCTTGCAGGGATCCAGATAGCCACAGCACCTCTGCATGGGTCCTTTCAAGAGCACAAGGAAAGAAGTGCTCAGGAGCCCATGCCTGGTGAAAACAACCCCCAGGTAAGCATGACACCCAGAAAGAGAAACGGGCACATGCAGGGGCTACAGCAAGGAGGAGAGGCATCAGGTGAGGTGCCAAAGGGGGTTTAGGGAATGCAAAGTCATGGAGAGGTGGCCTTGAAGCTGCTTTCAAGGAAGCGGATGTGAGGGGGTGGATGCTTTTCCGGCACTTTCAGCCTCTGGTCCTCGTGTAATAATGGGGGGATGTTCGTCATGCCCATCCACCCACCAGATGCATGCCTCCGGACCCTGCGGCGCCATGCGCTGGGACTTACCCAACTCCTCCAACTCGGCGGTCATAGACTTGGAGCGCAAGGTGAGGGTGGTGCTGGGGGCCCTCTTGGGGGGCGGCGGGGCTGAAAGGAAGAGAGAAGGCATTTTGCACTTGCGGTCCAGCAGCTTGCGGGGCGCGGCCAGGTGGAGGTGCCACTTCTTCTCCACGGCCTGGATCTCCTCGTACTCGCGGGAGGAGGAGGAGTCGCACTGCTGGAGGATCTTGTTCAGGCTGCGCGTGGAGGCAAACTTCTTCATGGTCCGGAGGGAGGGGCAGGGGCAGGAAGAGGGGGCCCGTCAGGAACGAGAGCTGGGCGAGGGACCCGGGGCCCCTCAAGGCAGGAGTCTGCCCAAAATGGCCTCCATGGGTTCCTCTAACAAGGAGAGGCCTCCATCTCAACGACTGCTTTCCCCGTTTCCCCCCGTACGCCCCTTTGGCTCCTAGGGCCCCGTTTCCATGGTGAGGGCCCCGTTTCCTTCCCAGCCTAGCTCTGCTCTGGTCCTGGCCAGAGTGGACGAGGCCTCTGGATGGTGCAGCCGAGGTGTGTCTCCGGCAAGTGGGCCAGGGCGAAGGCCGGGCCAGGCCGAGGTACTTCCTAGCCAGCCCAGCCAGCGGCCGTGCCCATGCCAGAGCAGCGAGACTCCATCTGCCATGGGTTTTGCAGGAGCGGATGGGGAGGCTGGTTCTTCACTTCTCTCCTCCGTAACAATGCGGGCTTCAACGATGCTCCGCGTTACTATGGAAACCAGCGCTTCCAGCTCGCCTGCATCAGAGACCCCAAACAGGGGCGGATGGAGCGGAGGAGAGCACGATTCCCACACACAGAAAAACCAAGGGAGGAGAAGGCAGGGGTGTGTGTGGCGGTGTCGCCTCGGAGCAAAGGCTCAAGGACCTGGGCAGGGAGGAGGACCCAGAGTGCCGGCAGAGGACCTTGCTCCTTGCTGGATCAAGCCCTCGGAGGATGGACAGCCACGCCACGCTTGCACCGTGGGGAAAGCACTAGATGATATCCGCTTGATTATTGAAGGCTGGGGCGTTGGCTGAAAAGGAAAGCACTCTCGGTGCCGGCCGAGTCACTGAAGGAGACGCTTTGATGCCCGTCCGCTTGGCACAGAACAAGGCGTGCTTGGTGAAAGCAAGGCTCCGGCACTTTCCTCTTCGGTGGAGGCAACGTTGGAGCATCAACCTCTTTGCGCACGTGGACTGGTCTGTGAGATTCCGCCGGCTGATCCGCCTCTCACCCCAGGAGTGGATCCCAGGAGCAGGTGGCGGTGAGCAGGGCTGGCAGCGCAATCCCGATCCTCCGTTGTCTGTCTTCTTGTGCCGCGATGAGATATTGGCAGCCCTGGGTCTCAGCACGAGGGGTTGCCTCCCTTCTTCCTCTCCCCACCCATCTGCTGCCATTTGGGGGGCCCATGCTTTGGGTACCAGAGGAGGAGCGGGCTCTCAGAGCTCCCCCACCACTTCCTCCCCACGACATAGACCCACTCTGCTAAAAATACACGGCAGGCAGGCAGCAGCATAGTCTGTCCTCCCCTTGGCTTCCTCTCCCCTGTGGGAGGGGAGCTGCCTCCGCTTCCCAGCTCCCTCCCAGATCGCCTCAGGCAACATTTCCTTGGCAGTGGAGCCTATGGAGGAAGACACTATCCTTTGGGTTGGGAGGGTGGCCCAGTGGCAGGCATCTCTGTGGCTTGGCACCTTCCCTTTGCAGGGAGAGCCTGGAGTCTAGAGGGAAGGTGCGCTGATGAGGATGTAGGAAGGGCAAAGAGTCAGAGTTGGAAGAGACCCCCCAGGGCCATCCAGTCCAACCCCCTTCTGCCTTGCAAGAATATGCATCTAAAGCACTTCTGGCAGACAGGTGGCCAGCCAACTTCCATTTAAACCCTCCAGAGAAGGAGAAGACACCTTCCCTGGATATCCCACTAGCCAACAGCTCTGACCATCAGGAAGTTCTTCCCTAATGTTTTGGTGGAATCTCATCTCCTGCAACTCAAACCCATTCTTCCATCATGCCCTAAGTCTCCAGAGCAGCAGAAGACCAGCTTGCCCCCTCCTCATCAAATATTGACACACACCTATGGAGTCCCTCCTCACCTTTCTCTTCTCTATTTAAAGAAGCAGCTTCCTCTGCTCCTCTTCCTTCTCCTGTCCTGCCACCATTCCTTCCCCAAATCCCACGTCTCTCCTGTACAGGACCTTCATCACAGACGGCAAGCCCTCCCTGGCTGACCCTTAACTCAAAGGTACAATGTGTTGCAGCAGCAAAAAAAAAGCCAATGGGATGTTGTCCTGCATCAATAGGAGTCTAGTGTCTAGATACAAGGAAGTCCTGCTCCCCATCCTCTATTCCGCCTTGGTTAGACCACTTTACCTGGAATATTGTGTCCAATTCTGGGCAGCACAATTGAGGAGAGATATTGACTCTAAGCTGGAATGTGTCCAGAGGAGGGCAATTTAAATGATCAAGGGTCTGGAGAACAAGCCCTATGAGGAGCGGCTTAAGGCGCTGGGCATGTTTAGCCTGAAGAAGAGAAGGCTGAGAGGAGACATGATGGCCATGTATAAATATGTGAGTGGAAGCTTCCCTGGAGACTAGGACACAATGGAGCAATGGCTTCAAACTACAAGAAAGGAGATTCCACCTGAACATGAGGAAGAGCTTCCTGACTGTGAGAGCCGTTCAGCAGTGGAACTCTCTGTCCCGGAGTGTGGTGGAAGCTCCTTCTTTGGAAGCTTTGAAACAGAGGCTGAATGGCCATCTGTCAGGGGTGATTTGAATGCAATATTCCTGCTTCTTGGCAGAATGGGGTTGGACTGGATGGCCCATGAGGTCTCTTCCAACTCTTTGATTTTATGATTCTATGATTCATGGAATCCTACGATTTGGTTGTATTACAGTCTTCTGGCAAAGAACTTCAAGCATCTCTCCCTGAACTGGAAATCCAATGATGGCAGTTAAAATTGAATGGGAAGCTTTGGGGCAAGTGAAAGAACCACACGGGGTGACCCAGCATCGAGAACAGAGTTGCAGATGCTCAGAACCAGTTCCTTCCAGATTGCACCAAAAAGGACTAAACATCCAGGCCATTCACATGGCAGGAGAAAAACTTCAACCATCCACAATTCCTGCATACATTTGCAGAGAGGGAGAAGGCTGGGGCCGCTCTTTAACCCTAGGCCAGGGTTAGGAATTGTGGGAGTTGAAGTTCAAAACACCTGGAGAAGGGCCCAAGTCCACCCATGGCTGTCCTAGGCCACCTGGAGAGGGGGTTATGGGAATTGGGGTCACTGTCGCTCAGCAGGGTTAGGGTGAGTTCCTGCTGTCAGCCCTAGCTTCTGCCTACCTAGCAGTTCGAAAACATGTAATGTGAGTAGATCAATAGGTACCGCCTCAATGGGAAGGTAAGAGGCACACACGCAGCCATGCAGGCAAAACACGACCAGGAGGGTCTATGGACAACATGGAAAAATGGAACAAGAGCATCTCCCCATGGCCAGAGTTGAGCATTGCCCCCAGGCGCTGGAGGGTGGAAAGGGAAACCTTTGCCTTTGTTTGTGTACTGTATGCCATTGTTCACTGTATAAAAGGCACTGAATCTTTTCCTATATGTGTGCATACAGGAATCCACACTGAGTCCCCTCGGGGAGATAGAGTGGAATATAAATAAAGTGCATTATTATTATTATTATTATTATTATTATTATTATTATTATTATGAGTCCCCTTGGGGAGATAAAGTAGAATATAAACAAAGATTATTATTATTATTATTATTATTATTATTATTATTATTCTGAGTCCCCTTGGGGAGACAGAGTGGAATATAAATAAAGTGCATTATTATTATTATTATTATTATTATTATTATTATTATTATGAGTCCCCTTGGGGAGCTGGAGTGGAATATAAATAAAGTGCATTATTATTATTATTATTATTATTATTATTATTATTATTCTGAGTCCCTTTGGGGAGATAGAGTGGAATATAAACAAAGTGTATTATTATTATTATTATTATTATTATTATTATTATTATTATTAGTCCCCTTGGGGAGATAGAGTGGAATATAAATAAAGTGCATTATTATTATTATTATTATTATTATTATTATTATTATTATTATTAGTCCCCTTGGGGAGATAAAGTAGAATATAAACAAAGTTTATTATTATTATTATTATTCTGAGTCCCCTTGGGGAGACAGAGTGGAATATAAATAAAGTGCATTATTATTATTATTATTATTATTATGAGTCCCCTTGGGGAGCTAGAGTGGAATATAAATAAAGTGCATTATTATTATTATTATTATTATTATTATTATTATTATTATTATTCTAAGTCCCTTTGGGGAGATAGAGTGGAATATAAATAAAGTGCATTATTATTATTATTGAAGACTTTTCCTACTTCCAACAGACCTCACTACCTCTGAGGATGCTTGCCATAGATGCAGGCGAAACGTCAGGAGAGAATGCCTCTATCCATGGACATATAGCCTGAAAAACCTACAACTACCCACTTCATTATTATTATTATTATTATTATTCTCAGTCCCCTTGGGGAGATAGAGTGGAATATAAATAAAGTGCATTATTATTATTATTATTATTATTATTATTATTATTATTATTATTATTATGGGTCCCCTTGGGGTGATAGAGTGGAATATAAATAAAGTGCATTATTATTATTATTATTATTATTATTATTAATTAATTTATTATTATTTATAGTCAAACTCCCCTGCTGGAGATGGCAGAATCCCTTTTTGCCAGGGCTGTGTGTGTGCCCCAATCTCATCCGGCTAATGCCTGGAAGGCCTCCGCAGCCCACCTCTTCCCAGGGAACAGATGGCAGGGCAGACAGAGCCCTGGAAGCCTTCCTGGCTTCCGTCTCTCACCCGGAGCACAGCTGGTCCTGACTTCTCTTCGGAAGCCCTGTTTCCGTTGAAGGAGACGGTCCTCCTGTTGTGACAAAAGCTCCCAGAAAGCAGCCCTCCTGCCTTGGGGGGTGGGAGTCGTTTTGGCCAATGGGGAGAACCAGGGTCCCCTACAAGGCTCTGGACCGACTTCTGGGGCCTCGGAGAGAGGGGGTGCCTGGAGAATCCTAAGGAGAAATACTTTTATTCATTCCATTTATATCCAGCCATTCTTCTGGTGCCACAGGACCCAAGGGAACCCTCAGCAAATCAAAAGCCATTGACGCCGTAATTTAAATAAATTATTCTGCGAATAATACAGAATTAAGACAGTTTTAGCAACCATTAATTAAGATGTTATTTTAGAAATTATAAAAGCACAGCATGGCCCCCTAAAAGCACTTTTCTGCCACGGTTTGGAAGCAAAAGACCTCTCTAAAGGAAAAGGATATTTGCCTGCTGGCAAAAAAGAAAGCAAAGCAGAGAACAAGCCCTATGAGGAGCGGCTTAAGGAGCCTGAAGAAGAGAAGGCTGAGAGGAGATATGAGAGCCATGTATAAATACGTGAGAGGAAGCCACAGGGAGGAGGAGGGAGCAAGCTTCCTTTCTGCTTCCCTGGAGACTAGGATGCAAGGGAACAATGGCTTCAAACTACAAGAGAGGAGATTCCATCTGAACATGAGGAAGAACTTCCTGACTGTGAGAGCCGTTCAGCAGTGGAACTCTCTGCCTTCCCCGGAGGGAGTGTGGTGGAGGCTCCTTCTTTGGAAGCTTTTAAACAGAGGCTGGCTGGCCATCTGTCAGGGGTGATTTGAATGCAATATTCCTGCTTCTTGGCAGAATGGGGTTGGACTGGATGATGGCCCAGGAGGTCTCTTCCAACACTTTGATTCTAGAATTCTATGAAAGCAGAGACCAAGCAGGCTTCTCGTGGGAAGGTGTTCCTCAACCTGGGAGAAGACCCTGCCTCACTTCCTCACCCAATGTAGCTGGGATGGGGCCAAGAGGGAAAGAGAGAGACCCACCCCATGAAAACCCCAAAAGCCAAGCAGTGTCATAACCCTTGATAGTCCAGGAAAACCAGGCACCATCTTCATTTGGATCATAAAGGCCATTTGGCCCTTGGACTCAACCAGGGCTCTTCTCTAGGAACAGGACACCCAACCTGGTCCTGGTGCATTTCTGCCCATCAGTAAAGCAAAATGACCCATCACATCCTGTCTCAGACGCCTCTGCTCCTCCGGTGCTGCAGTTATCCAGAAACACTGGCAATCATTTAGGCCCTTCCAGCTGGAGCGACACTCTTGCTCTTAGATGTCCACCCTCAAACCTTGCGAGGTGCCAGTGTCCATTCTGTGCCTGCTGCTTCTGCTCTCAGGGCTGAAATGGGTCCGTTACGTCTTTGAAAGGCAGGCTGCGGGGCATAGAACTTATCTCATTTGGGTTGCATTCTCTCCTGAACATATCAGGGTGGCTTCGGGGCACGGCCCTTGCAAGGCTGATGAGACACAATCTTGGATCTCTCTGTTCACTCCAGGCAGCCAAGGCACATTCGCATCTACCTCCATTTGTGTGATATGATGTCAAATAGGGTCAATTCAGGGACCACTGTGCAAAAGCACGCTGGGCCCTGGAAACAGGGGCCAGGCAAAGATAGATGACATGAGGCAGTCCCAGAGCAGGAATGGGAACAAGGCACAGAGACTGAAGTGCTGGACTGACAACTGGGCATTGATGTGGCCAGAGCTCCGCAGAGGAAGAGGGCCCGTGGACATAATGGGAGGGGGCTTGGAAAGAGGGGCATGGCAGAGCCACTCTCCACTCACCTTTCTTTCGAACGACGTCCTCCGACTCTGGCTTACGGCTGACGGAGACCACTTTCATCACCAGGTGGTTTCCCCCCTGGCGGATGAGCGACACCACCTGCTTGTGGCCCACCTTGACCACGTTCACACCATTCACCTAGGAAGCAAAGGGAGGCACCGTCAGCCGGAGGAGGAAGAGGGCAAAGAAGGAGGGGTGCTCTCCAGCCAGAAGGCACATACATTGTGGCTTACCATCTCCATGAGAAGCGAATGGTGCCAAACCTGGCCATGGAAATACCTGTGGGCAAGGTGCACAGATGGCATGCCTCTAAGCGGCGGGAGGGCAACACTGTGGCCGCCTCATTTCTCTGATTAGTCCTTCCCAAAATGGTGTCAGGAAGTCACTGCGCATCACTTACAGTCATCATTTTGGGATGGACTGCAGGGGAAAACGGAAGGGAGCATTATGGAATTCTAAGTGTTTGCAGAGCTGGGATGGGAACATTTCCCCATGATTTCATATGTTTGGGGGGCTTTCTGCATGGCTTGGGGCACAATAGAGGCTATGACCTATGGACTACAGTTGGCCCACTCATAATAAATAATAAAACTTTATTTATATACCACTCTATAAACCCAAGGGGACTCAGAGCGGTTCTCAGGTAACATCACAAAACATACAAAGTAAAACAACATAACCATAAGATTAACAAAACAATATAATTTGTCACCATAACACACATATATTAGAAGTCATCCTGCCTGTTCAAAGCAATTAAAAAATTTACAAGGCTGGGCCAAGATTTGTGCAAGCCCAAAAATTCTAGGACCCCCGGAAATTAAGTGCAATGCTATGGCAGGCAACAATAATATTAGGTAGGGGTCTGTGGCTGTTCATTCCGGGGCCGATTGGCGGAAGTGATCTGGTAGGAATTGGTAGGAAGAATAAGGCCGTATTGAACAATGTGTAAGACTGAGTTAGAACTGGGCATTTTCAAAGGCTTGTTGAAACCACTAGGTTTTCAAGTTCTTATGAAAGGAGAGGAGGGATGAGGCCTGTCTTATCTCCCTTGGAAGGGCGTTCCAGAGGTAGGGAGCCACCACTGAGAAGGCCCTCTCTCTCATCTGTCAGGATAATTGCAATTATTTTATATATGTTTTTCAACGTGTTAGTATTGTATTCTAAGATGGATTCAGTCATGTTCATTTTTTGTTCACATGTGCAGCAAATTGTTGTTGTTACAGAGTTACAGGCCAGACAGTAGAATCTCTGAAACTGTGATAACTGAATTCCTTTGCTCTGAGAAAAATAGGGAGTGTACCAGCTAGTAGACAGATAAGTCAGAAGGGCAGGATGTTTCTTTGTCTGTGTGTTTAGTCCTGTACTTTGTCAGTCGCCATCTTTCCTCATCAACATGTAGTTGCCTCTAAATAGATGCTTCCAGTAAAGCTTATTATTTTGAAACCGAAGAAGAATGCTGTGTGGTAATTGAGTCTGTGTGTTTTGGAAACCTCAAGTTCGCTGTGCCAGACCGGAGGGTCTCACTCTGACATCATCCCCACCAACTGTGCTTGTGACGAAGGTGGGACTGAGAGGAGGGTCTCCCTGGAAGATCTTAAAGTTCGTGCCAGTTCATAGAATGAGATGCGATCGCGGAGACAGGCGGGGCCCAAACCATTTAGGGCTTTATGGGTCATGACCTGCACCTTGAATTTGGCTCGGCAACTTATCGGCAGCCAATGAAGCTGTTTTAATAGGGGTGTTGTATCCTCCCTATAGTTTGCTCCAGTAAGGAGCCTGGCTGCTGCCCACTGTACCAGATCAAATCTCTGGACCGTCTTCAAGGGCAGTCCCATGTAGAGCGCATTGCAGTAGTCCAGTCAGGATGTAACCAAGGCATGGACCACCCTGGCCAAAAAATCCTGGTCAACACACAATTTAAATGGCTCCCCATATTTTCCCAGTGACCAAAGGAGAGAACGGCCACTGCTGGGGAAAGGCAGGCTCCTGACCTACCTCCTCAAGAAGGCCAAAGACCTTGCAAAACTATAACTCCCAAGATGCCCCCCATGGAGCCTTGGCAGTTCCGAGTGCAGTTCAGTGCAAATCGAATGGCATTTGTTCTCCAGTGTAGAGGCACCCAGAGTCTACTGGCAGTCTTATATAGTGGACTTCATGGGCAAACTTTGGCCCTCCAGGTGTTTTGGACTTCAACTCCCACCATTCCTGGCCTCAGGCCCTTTCCTTTTCCCCCTCAGCCGCTTAAGCGGCTGAGGGGGAAAAGGAAGGGGCCTGAAGCCAGGAATGGTGGGAGATGAAGTCCAAAACACCTAGAGGGAAGACCAAAGTTTGCCCGTGCCTGAGCTATAGCAAAGCAATGAAGCCACAGCAAGCAAAACTCACAATAAAAGGATGCCAAAAGAATTGTAATTTAAGACCTCTGAAATGTGCTAAACCAACACAAAGCTGCCTTGTGTTAACCCGTCAAATCCTTTTAATATGCTTTGAGTCTGTTAAAAATAATCTCCCCCCGTTTAAAATGGCTTAAAACGATTACCCTTCCTGCTGCTCCGAGATCCCATGACACGGAAGGCAGGGGGTGTACATATGTATTTAAATGCATGTAAATAAATAAACAAAGACACACTCAGGGCTGCAAAAAGAGGGACAGTGCTTTCCTAAGAATTGCTCTGCGAGTTACCTTTGCATTTTATAGAAGCTGTAGCCAAATAACTGATACTCAACGGGCTGCTCACTTCCAGCAGTAATACTATTGGTTTTATGAGTCCATAAAATGTATTGTAAATAGTGTGTATGATAACAGAATCCCCATAAAGATGTAACTCTCCTCCCTAGAGGCTTTCTCTTCTTTTTCAGCTGTCCTTCAGCTCTGAAAGCCACTTCATACTTCAGAAGAAGCACCAGAGATTTGCAAAAGGACATGGAGGGTTTGGTTTGGAGAAACTTTCCAGTTTATCCAAGCCTGCAAAGGCTTTCCATTCCTGGTTGTAAGGATGCCACTTTGGAGCGCAAGGATCACAACTGAGATCCTTCCACTTTGCCTCTCAATCCAACCCTCAAAACACTGATTCCTTGCACCCTTCAGACGAACACAACCGGACCTCAAAGTCCCCAAACAATGATGCTTTGTGCTGCAAACTGTGTTGTAACGTGCCCAACTTTGACTTGTGGACTTTTCTTGGCCAGATGCAATGCAGCAGCTAAAAAGGCCAATGCAGTTCTGGGCTGCATCAGCAGGTGCAAAGTGTCCAGGTTGAGAGAAGCAACAATATAGCTCTACTGTGGTCAAGCCACTCCCTTGCCTGGAATAATGAGAGCCCTTTGCCCAGTACTAGGCAACAAAAACCAGGAGGGACATTGGACGTTTGGAAGGTGTCCAGAGAAGGGCACCACAAGGGTCAAAGGCCTAGAAGCCAAATTCTATAAAGTCTGGGTTAAAGAGCAGAGAAATGCTTAGCTTGAGGAAGAGAAGGGGACATGAGAGCCAGGGGGGCCATGGTTAGTACAGCGGGTTAAACCATCAGCTACAGTAAACCTTGCCGACCAGAAGGCTGCCAGTTCAAGCACCCATCATCCGTCCTAGCTTCTGCTTATCTAACAGTTCGAAAACAGCAATGTGAGTAGATAAATAGGTCATGCTTTGGCAGGGAGGTAAAAGGTGCTCCTGAAGACATGCCAGCAATTTGATCAGGAAGGTGTCCATGGACAACAGGAAAAATGGAACAACAGCACCTCCAATGGCTGAGTTAAGCACAGCCTTGTCATATGTTCCATAGTTGATGGTGGTGGTAGACTTGGCAGTTGTTGATGGAAGGGTTCATGTAAGTCTTGGTTCTAAAGAGCTGAGTAGTTTGTAAGTAACAGTTTACAGGTAAATGCAATTAAGGGTGGAGGCATGCAGGGGATAGGTTGCAGCTGGGTGTTACTGAATTTAAGGAGCTAGCCTTGGGATTGATCTTTGGGAGAAAAGTATTGCCATATTTTGGTGGTGGATGCTGCTGGTTTTTCCCCAGGTCTGTTTAATTTTTGGTATCCTGACCTGTCTCCTGTAATCTTGGAACCCTGGAACCTTTGGACTGGCTTTTGACTATGGTATAGACTCTTGATCCCTGGACTTTGTTTATTGAACTCTCGGCATTTGACCACTGGACTGGACCCTTTGACTTCGGCATAGCTTTTGCTATCAGTTTTTGTTTATTCTGTGTCTATCTTTGTGTTTTATATTTTGGTCTATTAAAACAGCCAGCAAGTAAGTGCTGTTTTAATTAAACTATTTGATGGAACTGGGAGTGTAGTTCATCTCTACCTAAATAAGGCAGAGCCCTGGCAACGTGACAGAATATTTTTCTCCCAAGGTTAGCTCCTTAAATCCAGTAACACGCAGCTGCAACCTATCCCCTGCATGCCTCCACCCTTAATTGCTTTTACTTGTAAACTGTTACTTACAAACTACTCAGCCCTTAAGAACCAAGACTTACATTAACCCTTCCATCACCAACTGCCAAATCTACCACCACCAACCACCATCAACTATGGAACATATGACAAGCTGGAGATGAAAAAGATGGAAGCCTTGCCTCTGTCTATTTACTGCCTGTCTTTCTTAATTGTATAATGGCACTGAAGTTTGCCATATATGTATTCTGTAATCTGCTTTGAGTCCTCGGGGAGCTAGAGCAGAATATAAATAAAGATGATGATGATGATGTCTGAATATCTGAAAGGATGCCATATTGAGGAGGAGGACAGCCTGGATGGCCAGTTGTTGGGAAGGTTTTGGTGGTGCCTTCTTGCATAGTAGAAGGGAGTTGGACTGGATGGCCCTTGAGGTCTCTTCCAACTCTTCCATCAGATTTGTTTAGAGGAGGCTCATCAACTTTGCCTTTCCCTGGGGCTGAGAGAGTGTGACTTGCCCACAAGGGTCTCGTTGACTGAGCAGGGAGTCGAACGAAGTCCAACACTCAACTCACTCCCCCTCCATGGATATAGTACAAATCTCTGCATGGAAGCCATGCACTCCAGAGAGCCGGAAATGAAAGGAGAAGCCTTTGTCTGTGTATTTGTGTTTCACTGCAACAAGGCATTGAATGTTTGCCTGTGTCTGTTGATATGCTGCAATCCACTCAAGAGTCCCC